TGCCTCTCAACTCCAGCCTGAGAAGACCATTGGGTTGAGGTTGGCTTTTCTTGGCTCCTGTGGAAGCGACATCACGGTTATATTCGGTCAAGGGCTGCCTTACAGAAGCCTCCCTCCGAGTCTGCTCTCTCTGTCCTGGCCTGTATTTCTTTCTCTCCTACCTTATGCTTTCCAGTGGCCCTGATGGTGTTGATTTTTCCTGTCTTGATGCCGCGATGCTCCCACCCCCTTGCTCGTGATTGGAGGAAACACGGGCACATGGTGTAGAACTGCCACTGGGACCCAAAGGAAGGTGTGGAGGGGCATCAGGAGCACGTCTACCCCTGGGCACAAAAGCAAGAGGTGACCCCTTTCTTGCTTTTGGACGTGACCCCTGGACTCTTGCAGCCATCTTGCCACCGTGAGGAAAGCTAGCGTTAACAGAAAAAGGCGGGCTGGGGAGATGGCTCAGTGGAATAAGCGCTTCCCTGGCAAGTGCAAGGGCCTGAGTTCAATCCCTGGTTCCTCAAAAAAAAAAAAGAAAGAAAGAAAAAATAAAAATAAAATAAAGTAAAGATGACTTGTATGTACTCTGCAGCCTTTAAAAAAAAAAAAAAAAAAAAAAAAAAAAACAGAAAAAGGCGAGGAATACCGAGGTGAGGGTATTCCAGCCTAAGCCTGGGCCTGGAGCCACTGTCCTTTAGAACTTGTCATGAGAGATTGTCCTCTTCCTTAGGCCAGCTCAGTTGGAGTTTGCTCTTTGCGGTCAGGACATTTTAGCTGCTACAAATACACAAAAGTTCCTTGCATTTATTTTCCCCACAGCCATAAAGATCTGCTAGTTATGATCTGAAAAGAAGCGCTGAGGAATGGAAGAGGAGAGGGGGTCCCTGGGATGCGAGATGGGGGATAAATGATTGTGGAGTCACAGAATATCTAAAATGCATTCACAAAAACGTAAAAGTTAATTTTTAAAGAAAAAAATTAGACAACAAAAATAAACAGGAGAGTCAGGGAGATGACGCAGTGGAATAAGCACTTCCATGGCAAGCCAAGGGCCTGAGTTTAATCCCTTGTTCTGAAAAAAACAAAAAACAAAAAACAGGAAAAGGGCTAGGGACATGGCTCAGTGGCACAGTACCTGCCTGACAAGTGCAAGGCTCTGAGTTCGATTTCTGGTACAAAAATAAACAGAAAAAAACCTCAAACATTTGCACAGATCAGCAGACCCAGAGCAAAGCAAGTCTCAGCAGAGAAATAAAAAGAGTCCCCCAAAAACCTCCGGCACACAGAGGTGACCAGAAGAAGTGAACCCCAGTAACCTGAGGTGTGCAAAAATGCCACTGCTTCTTTCATTTTGTGATTTCACTTATTCGGGAAAGCAAAAATACACTGATCCTTCTTAGGATCAGTGTGGTGGCGCACACCTATAATCCCAGCATCTGGGAGGCTGAGGCAAGAGGATCACTGAGTTTGAGACCAACCTGGGCTACAAAGTGAGCTCAGGCTACTTTGAGCTGCATAGTGAGACCCTGCCTCAAAATGACAAAACACCGAAAAGCAACAGCCAAGAGCTTTCCCAGGTTCTCTAACTCGGTTTTCTTGGGAACTCTGAATTTTCCTAAGGCTGTGAGAAGCGGGATCTGTGAGCATACGGGAGCCAGTGTCATTTCTACCACCCTAATGCATTTATTCAGAGATGGAAAGGTCACATGTGGTGTCCCAGGCACTATCGTATAGATGTTTTTTTTCCTTTTCTTTTCTTGCAGTGCCGGGGCTCAAACTCAGGGCCTTGAAGCCATGCAGTGAACATTCTACACTGAGCTGCAGCCCCACTCTGCGCTGCGGATTTTATTTCTGCTCTCTAGAGTGTCTAGCACTGCACTAGGAGAGTTAAATGCACACAAGTCTTCACTCTAAAATAACTACTTCCCCAAGGGGAATTCCTACGCCCCTCATTCTGTGGCATGGTCCCAGGTAGGTGAGCCTTTGAATTCAACCTGAGCATGGCTGAATGCTCCCCTGCTGCCTGCTTCCCCAGGACTGGACCTTCCAGAAATTCTTCTAGGGCAGGAGGAAGTAAGCTAGCGCTCACCCCAAGCTCTCTCCACCTGACTTGTTGGGGCCCAGGGCCAAGTCTTCAAGTGGGCCCTGTGGATTCTGCCCTGGCCCGCAGGGTCAGGGACTGAATTGGCTCAGAAGCTGCCTCCAGGGTCACCCACGTGAAAGTGACAGGCCAGCCTCACCTGCCTGCAGAAGCCAAAGGGGTCAGGGACTTTCTCCTCTGAAGAAAAAAAAAATGTTGATTTCCAGAAGATGACACATAAATGGCAAGAGTTGAGCACAATTATAGGTAATCTACAGCTATATTTATAAGATAAAGTTAAGCCCACAAAAGTCTGGAAGTCACAAAGCACTGGGGCCCAGAGTCAGGACAGGGGCCTGGCCCTGCAGTCAGGTCATCCTGTGTGGTGTCTTGCCAGGCGACAGGCCTACATGTCATAGAGCCGGAGCTGCTCCTGCACGTCACCATCGGACATCTCGCCAAATGTCTCCTTGTTGTCCTTCATGAGCTTGAAGATGGCGGCCAGCTGCTCTTTCTGAACTCTGTCGAGAAGAAGGGATAAGAGGAAAAGGAGGCTCCCACCCCCGCGACCAGGGAGGGAGACTACATAGCTGTGGGTATTGTTCCTGCCTTTGCTTTTTGGTGTAACAGTAAACCAAAACAAGCAATGGCGCATATCTGCAATCCAAGCACTCAGGAGGCTGAGGCAGGAGGATCATCGTGAAGTTGAGTCCAGCCTGGGCTACACAGTAAGTTTTAGGGCAGCCATGGTGAGACCTTACCTCAAAAACCAAAACTCAAAACAGGACAGAACTCACTTAAAATGTAGACACTACTTTGCTCCGACACACCCCACGCTGGGATTCTAAGTTTCCGGTTAGAACCCTGTAGAGGTTGGGGACCCGCAAGTATCCCTTGGCGTCCCAGAGCGATGCCTCACTTTCCCCATGCTGATCGTGCGTCTTACAGTAAGGCAAGGCAGAAGAGAACACGTGCCATGGAGCGGCTTGAGCTCGTAGGAAGAAACCGCCCTCGTTTAGAGGGATTTCTAGAAGGATAGGAAGAGAAGACGTCATAGCCCACTGGGGAAAGGGACAAGAGGATAGGTTTGAGAGGGAGCTGGGCAAACCCTGTGTGGGCTCCCTGCCTGGAGAAAGGGGAGTCTTCTACTATACACAAAGATGTACTCTGGCAGGTGGTGGCCGCGCTCCTCTTGCCGTGGCACGGATGAAGACTTTACTGCACTCGGGCTCTGTTATCTTTACGAGGCTCAGTCACACCAGCTGCAGGCTCAGGACCACTCCCACAGCAAACACAAAGGGCAGAGCCACAGAAGCCAGGGGACAGCGTGGTGCTGTCAGTGCCCCCCTGGTGCCCTGTACTCATCCCCTGGGCGGGCTGCCTGTGGTACCCTCTCCCTAGGCTGGGTCCTCGCTGCTGCAGTTCCTACCCTCTGCATCACACTACTGGGGGGCTTGGCACCTTGAGAAGAGAGAAGCCACACCGCAGGTCAGACTTCGCAGCCCAGGGGGCCCGTCTCAACATCTGGCCTTATGTTTGCTGAACACACTCCTTCTGCAATAACTCTCGTCCTCAAGCTATACCTTCTGCCCCGCCACCAGGTGGCATATAGAAGTTCAAATACTTAAAGTCCCAATTCCCAGCCTCCTTCATCTAGGAGGTAGGTTGATTATTATTTGCTTATTATTTGGCGGAACCGGGGATTGAACTCAGGCCCTTGCGCTTGCCAGGCAAGCGCTTATCCTACTGAGCTATCTCCCTGGCCCCTTAGGAGGTAGGTTGAGTAATATAGTGTTTAAATGTCTAAAACTTGATTACAGTAAAAGAAGCATTGCTAGAATCCCCTCAAAAATATTCCCCCTTGCACTGGAGGAGATAGCTCAGTGGCTTAAGTACCTGCCTGGCAAGTACAAGATTCTGAGTTTGATCCTTAGTACCAAAAAAACCAGCCCTCTTGCTCGATACTCATTTTCCTATCACTACTGACACCTTCTGAAGCAGGTCTGGAAGTTCTCTTTCATGAGTCTTTAATTACACTGCTGGGGCTGCTGTGACAGCCCAGACTGATCCCAGATAGCGACCTTTCGTGGTCATTCTGACTTGGGGCAGCGCCAGAAACCACATGGCACCAGATTCGGTGGAGAAGGCAAGTAAGGACACAGAGGGTCATCCTTGTGAGCCTGTCTTTCTGCTGAGAGGCACTCAAGAGCAGCACAGAGTCACACACTTTTTTTCACAGCTCACAGACACCACAGAGGGTTTCCAGAGGCGATTCTGAAATTGACAAGAACAGTGGGACGCGTGTGCTCAAGGAGAAGGCGGTGTGCTCTGAGGGGCATGAACAGCAATGTCTTCTGTCATCAGTTTGTGAAATTTAAACACTCACCACAGTTTTCGACTTGTGTGGCTGGCTCCCCTGCCTGGAGAGGGAGCCAACAGTACATACTCTGTGCTCTGCTGCAGGTCCAAAGACATGGGGATCGTGAGCTGGGAGCCGTGTGCCGAGCAAGGGATGGCTCCGTTGCCCATGCACGTGGGCACCTCCCTGAATTGCTTATTACAAGCTGCCACACAGAGGTGGCTGTGGCAATTTCGTATTTTAAACAGGGTGATCACAAGGCGTCCTACTGTATGAGAATGATAAGAGCATGAAAAGAAAAAAAAGAGCCAGGTGTGGTGGTGCACACCTGTAATCTCAGCACTCGGGAGGCTGAGGCAGAAGGGTGGCTGCCGGTTTGAAATCTGCCAGGGCTGCAAAGTGAGTTCAAGGCCAGTCTGAACTGCACTGGGAAACCCTGTCTCAAAAACACAGGAAAGAGAGAGAGAGAGAGAGAGAGAGAGAGAGAGAGAGAGAGAGAGAGAGAGTTCAGTTCAACCAGTTCCAAAAAGATTGTTTTGTAAAAAAACAAAGCAAGCTGAAAAAACACACAATAACCAAGGTCATCTACCCAAAGTTTATTGGACCCAAGAAAGGCAGAATACAGAGTCAGGCCATTAGGCTATACAAGGCCTGCTGCCTACAAGCCAGGTCTGGAAGTTTCCAGACAAACCTAGACAACTACACTCAGAGGGAGTCACTACTTCATATTCTTCCTATTACTAATATCCTGGCTCGGACAGGGCTATCACTATTGCTACTGAGAAATGCACGAGTACATCTGCTCATCACACGTGGCTCTGTGTCAAAGGCATTGGCTGTGTGGCTGTTCCTTTGTCCCCTGTTCTGCCTGAAGCCCTGAACCGAAGGAATGGAAGCCAAGGTGAAGGCGGCCGGAAGTCCTTGCCTGGGAGCGGATGTTGGACATTTCCCAGCCTTCCATTAAATGCAAAGTTTTCCTGTAAACTTATTGCTCTAGAAAAAAGTGTTTTAACTAAGAAATCTAAGTACTATAAATTGGTCTAGTATAAATGTCAAATATAAAATTCCAAGAAGCTAAACTGGGAGTGATCTGTTTACCTAACCTATGAAACCTTCCAGGACAAGGCATAGCCCAGAAATCTCTTAAACTAACATAATTCTTATTGCTTCTGCCAGAGCAAAAGTGGAGATTCTGCTGAGCTGGTAAAAATGTCAGTGAAAGGGCCTCTTTAGCAACAAGAGGCCTAGACCCCCACCACCTCGAGGTGACAGGAGGGTAGTGGTGAAGCCAGTACTGGCTTTGGCTTTTTGTGATGCAGTAATCAATATGGCACCCGTCATCTCTGGAAGGAGCCCACAAGAGGAAGAGGGCCCCGTCAGCCATCCCTGACAGAGCTACCGAGTTTAGCCGCACTGGTCTGTCATTCCTCAGTCTTTTGTGGGTTGGCTTCAGTGAGCACAAAAGGAGGAAGGCTGAGATAAACTGCACTCTGATTTTTAAAATGTTGGAGACACTGAAGCTGGTGTTTCCTCGGTTGTAACGGATATGTGGAGAGCAAGCTTGGGTGGTGAGAGAAACTCAAAGTCTGACTCATCTCTTAAAACCCTTCAGCTTAACAAAGGGACCCATTCAGTTGGGGTGAGCATCTCCAAGCAGGGCAAGGCCGAAGGCACTGCCAAGGGTCTTGCCAGTCAGGGAGGGGTCTTGCATCTCAGAGATTTGTAGGTAAGCCCACCCCCAACTGTGTGGGCTCCTCTCTGGGGGCTTCTGTGTTATCACTCAAGCTGTTAAAGATGCCAAAAGGGAAAGCATTCAGGAGGAAGCTAAGGATAACTTCATTATTCTTCAGTTCTGTAAAGAGAAATAGGGAGAAAAAGACAATGTATTTTACTTATTCCATCTTACAAGTGCACTGCAAAAGGGAGAAGGAAAATGTTTGAAGTTGCAGAAGCCACACTAGACGCTGAGTTCGCAGCCTGCTTCTTGCCACTGGTAGCAGGACAGTCTCAATGAGAGACGGGCCAGGCCCTGCAGAGATCCTGTGGACCTCTTGTGGAGCCGGGCAGCCACTTTCTGCCTCTTTGAGGCATCAAAAGCAGCCAGACATTCAAGCTTGACGATCTTTGGCTGGATGACGTTTCTGCCACCCTACATAATTTCTAGTGCCTCCTGGCTGGGTTTTGTTTTGCCTACAAGTTCTTCCACTTGTAGAAGTGGAAGAAGAAGTGGGCCAGAAGAAGGGTGCGGCCACTCTTAAAAGACAGAACACAGGCAGGGCATCTGATTCTGTGCCTCTGGCGCCCTCTCCTGGAGGACAGAGTCAATGAGAATTTGAAATTCACTCTGGAGGGTTGATTTTGATTTGATGGGTATGTATCAGGCAGAAGTACTAGAAGAGTAATCCTAGAGCTATGGTTCCTCCATCTCCTCCTCCCCTTCCCCGCTGTGCCATACAACACCCTCCTCCAGAGTCACATCTATTTCCTGAAGAGGCAGGACAGTCCTGCAGACCTTCAATGCAGGAGCATGGGGCGGTAGAGCTGTTAGCCCCAGCCCAGCCTGCATGTTAAGTTCTGCTTTCCCTCTGGGACAAGCAGGTGGAAAGGACTGATGAGCAGGAGGCTTCTTCCTACCATGGTGTGAAGCCAGCCAAGCCTCGCCAGCCTCACTAGCTCAGGGTGAGGAATTGCGGAAGGGGGAGGCTTCCTATCTCAGCCTGCACTGAGCTGGAGGTGGCTCCTCCCAGACAAACTGTGGTGGAAACCCTAGGACACCTTCAGAAGCAGAGGCAATGCCAGGAAAGCATGAGAACCTCTGTCCAGAAGAGACCCAAGGGGGTGAGCCGTCTGGACAGCAGGGTCTCAAGCAGCTTTGCAAACCTGACCGCCTTGCCCGTCCCTGGCTTTACCTGTGAGCAGGCCAGGGCTAGAATAGCCAGGGCAGTTCCTGGGGAGAGCTCATGTGGAGCCTCCAGCTTCCTCACTGCCAAGCCCTGAGAGCCGAAGCTGGCCTTCTGGGGCCTGCCTGAGCAGGGAACCACCACCAACGCAGTGCCAAGCTAATATGTTCTGGGAAGCACTTAGCCTGAGCTAGCTTGCAACTCAACTGTGTGCCCTGAACACGGAGGCACAGAGACCAGTAGAAAAGGTTCTGATGGGCAAAGAAGCAATCGTTCCACTGCTGGCTTCGGTTCAGTGGTTTGACAATAACATGTGAGTTATGTTTCACAGGAAAATTCTAGAGCAGCTCCCTGAACCCAGCTAGGTCCTGAACTGTCCTGCAGGCCATCTGCTCCTCCAGCCCCTGCGGGGACTCGTGCTAAAGATGAAAAAACAAAGCCAAATGGACCAGCCTCTGCAACCTCAAGCATTGCCATGTGAGGAACAGAAGCCACGTGGCCCCCAGGGGGCCGCAGACAGCTCAGCTGGGACCACATGCAGGGGTAGGCGGGAGGGGGCAAGCAGATGTCACGGCATGCGAGAGCCGGGGGGCGTGCTGGGCAGGCCTCGATGGAATGGACTGGAACTCCACTCTGCCCTGCCTGCAACCTCTGCCAGCCCCTCCTCCACTTGGGCCACTACTATGGTGCCCGAGTCAGGGACTCCACCCTCATCCACAAGCAATTCCTAGACAATGTCACTACCCCACAGAAGAGCAGAGTGTGCACCGGTGGTCCTGAGACCCCTACAGGCTCCCTGGGGGCAGTCCTTTTGGGTGAGGGAGGTTCCACTTTCTTTGAAAATAATGCAGGATTTTCCTTCCGGCCTCCAAGGCCTCAGCTCTGAACAGAGGTGGCAGTGGCAGGCCAGTTGCAGCCTGGCCCTGGCTTCTCCTATTCTTTAACTTTTTTTTTTTTTTTTTAGGAACCAGGGATTGAACTCAGGCCCTCTCGCTTGCCAGGCAAGCGCTTATGATTCTACTGAGCCATCTCCCCAGCCCAGGCCTCTCCTATTCTAATGGTCCCTGCAGGTCATGCCGCGCCATCAACTGAGCAGAACAAGGTCACCGTGCTGCCTTCACCCCGTCTACAGACCTTGGAGGCCAGCTGGTGTACCAGACCCTCTCTGTGCTCAAGCCAGCGACACTGTTTGGGGATTTGGGCGCCACACAGCAGCATCTGCTAACTTCCTAGCTCTGCCTCCAGAGCTGCAAGCAGATACAGACCACGGGAAAATGAGTGACGGTAGCTGGGTCTGGTCACACGGAATCTGTACCAGCAGGTGGGGGACAATGTGTGGCCCTGGCCACAGTCCACAGTCCTGGCTCTGATGATCAGAACCCACCCATGCCACAGTTCAGAGCAGACTGTTCTCAGGGTATCTGTCCCCTCACTGTCTAAAGCCATGACGGTGACCTAAAAAGGCTGCCAGTGAGGAGGAGTCCACATTGCTGCAGCAGCCCCACTGAGGGTGGCTTTCCCAGCTCACAAGGGGGCGCTAACACCCCAAACATCAGAGACTTACTGATGCCTCTGGAAGCCCCTGGCCCTGGGAATCCCTCATGCATGACAAGAATGATTCTGGCTGTGGTGGAGCAAAATGCACCCCCAGGTTATGAAGGCGGTGAGGAATGGGGTTTAGACCACAGCGGCGATGGTACTGGGGACACATTAGAGACGGTGTAAGGGAAACACCACTAGTCTAAAAAATCAATCTCCTTACCAAAAGTTTTGCAAGAATGTTTGTGGCTCAGGACCTAGAGAACTTGCTACAGGGAAGTGAGGTCAGAGGTCAGCTCAATCCTGCAATATAAAGGCAGCATATGGGGTCACAGGAGTGGAAGCAGCTGAGGGTGTGTCTCCCTCCTGCCTGAGCCTGAGGCCAACCCCTGAGGCCACACGGGAGCCAGGGGAGCCAGGCACCGGGAGGGGAAACAGTGGCCAAATGGGGCATCAGGCAGGGTGGCTGGGGTCTGAGGGACTGGGGCAGGTGGCATATGTGCCCCGCCTACGCCGCAGCTTTGCTCCAGGCAGGAGGTGCGCCCTGCCTTTCCATCTCACCCAGCTGGGAAAACGTCTCAGACACACAGGGCTCCAGCACGTGGTGGGGTGCACACCTGCTTCTCCGGCAGCTGGGAGCACCCCCAGTCCGGCGGGACTGGGTGGAGGGGAGCGAGGAAGGGGTGTGCCAATGGTTCTAGAAGCTGTAGTTGGAGGAGCAGAACAGATAATGCAGGACGGGAGGAGTGGGCACACTGACCATGGGACGCACACCGAGACCCTGCTCTGCCCCCATAATTAACAGGCTTTGTCATGGACTTTAGGCAAAGGAATAGCAGGTTCTGCTGGGAAGGGGGCAGGCTGGGTAGGGGCTGTGGGCAATGCCTCCATGTGCCCCTCCCACATCATCAGCTGCCTCCCCCCAGCAAGCGCCCCAGGACAGCTCCTCCCTCAGTGGGCAGGGCTGGATGTCACTAGGACAGGATGCGAACTGGAAATGAAGTATGCTAGGGGCATGATCTACAAGAGCCCCGCCTACACTCCCTCGGATTGCGAGAGCCAGGAGCCCACCTCTGCTCCTCCTCCAGTTCTTCTTTGGTCATCATCTTCTTGTACTGGTTTCCCCTCAGCTGCCCGGGGCTGTACTTAAAGGAGAAGGCCTCTCCTGTAAAGGGAAGATGGTAAGAGCCATGTGGAGATTCAAACCCTTCCTCCTGTCTCTTCCCCTTTGTTATTTATGTTTTTCAGACAAGGTCTTGCTGTGTAGCCCAGGCTGTCCTCGAATTTATGGAGATTCCCCTGCCTCAGCCTCCCAAGTGCTGGGATTATACCCGCCCTTGTATTAAATTTTAAAATAAGCACCTCGAACAGAGAGGGCCCCATCCGTCAGGCTCGGGTGGCCCATGCATAACCCTCCCTCCAGCTCAGGGACAGTCCCCATCCTCCCAAAGGGCTGGACACTCAACATTGTCTTCTTACCCCAGCTCCTACCTCTAAACTCATCCCGTTTTTTTTCCATGCAATCCTACAGCTCCTTATATCCTGCCCTTGAAACAAACAGGGACCACAGAGATGAAATGAGGCAGCCAGTGAGAAGCCCCTTCTGTATCCGCCTCCATCCCCTCTCTGCGGCTGGTTCTCTCTAGGCCTCATCGGTTACCACCCGATCCTGACAGCAGACAGGCTTCTCTCAGGAAGCTCTGGGTGCCAGGCACTGTGCCTCAGGGTCCCAGACCCTGCTCCTGGGCTGGGGAGGCTGCCAGGCACCTTCTCTTCATCCCTCCCCCCACAGCCACCTGGAGTCCACAGGGCACATCTGATCCAAATAGCTGTGGCCCATGAGCCAGGCCCCAGAGCACACGGGCACGCGACCTCGAGTTGCAGCAGGCGCTGGTGCAAGGGCTGGAGGGAAAGGGCTGCGGAACAGCTGAGCATGCTAATGCGAAAATCTGCCTGGGAAGCACTGGTCTTTTTGTGTTCCTTAACCAGGCAGTGTCAGGTAGGGCCCTGGGGACAGGGGCTGGCTGGCTTGTCCCATGTAATTTTCATGAGCACATAAAAGAAAGACTGGGTGAGGGAAACAGCTGTGTAGCTATGTCCTTTCCCAGCTGCCTGCTGCCCCTTCAGTGTCGGGATCTGGGACTCCTCCCTCTCCATCTCTGCACATCCACCCCACGGGGGGGGGGGGGACCAGCCAGGCCTCCTGTGACCCCTCCAGCTGGTGTCATTCACACATCATCAGATAGGCACATGGACCTGGGTGTGGTGGCGCATACCTGTAATCCCAGCACTCTGGGAAGCTGAGGCAAGAGAATCACAAGTTCATGCCCAGCCTGGGGTAATTTAGCAACTTAATGAGGTCCTGTGTAATTTAAAAAAAAAAAAAAAAATTTTTTTAAATAAAGGGGGTGAGGACGTATGCCAGTAAATGGTCCTGGGTGTAATTTCCAGTATCGCCGCATCCCCCCCCTAAAAAGCTGCCGTGGGCTGAGGGGGAGGAAAAGGCCCTTAGACTAAGGTGCTTCCTGGGTGAACAGGAAGAAGGTTCTGGATGAATGTTTCGAACCCAAACATTCCGCAAGGTGTCTTCCTTGCATTGAAACCTTGGTTGGAGGAGCAAGCAGGTGGCTTCCTGTGGGCACGCTGCAGCCACTGTGTTCCCACAGGACAGCTGCTCTTGCTTCTCTCCACCAGCTTAGGCAGCACAGTGCTAGGCGGTGGGCAGGTAGGGGACGCCTAGAACGCCCAGCAAGCAAAGCTAAGTACTTAAATATGCAGCTGGTTATACCTGCTTTATAGACAAGGACAGCTGGGCAGGGGCTGCTCAGAGAGGAAACAGTGGCCGGAGAAGGTAAATAGGGGGCCCGTGTCACAGGAGGGTGAGAAGAGGGGCAGCCCCAGCAGGCCGAGTCTGCCTAGAGCATTGGAGAAAACACGGTAGCCCAGGGGCCAGGGAAAGGGCTCAGTAGATTAAGTGCTTGCCTGGCAAGTGCAAGGGCCTGAGTTCAATCCTTCAATCCCTGGTTCTGCCAAAAGAAAAAACAAAAACAAAAAACAACAATAACAACAAGAAGGCCCTGAGCAAGTGGAGGATGGAGAGATGGAATGCGGGTGGGGGCTGGGAGCAGGCAGTGGTGGGACAGGAGTACTGGGGGTGCAGAACAGAGCCCACCAGTCCTCACCACTCCCCTTCAGGTTTGGTTTGCTCCAGTGTAGAACACCAGGTCCTCAGAACCAGAAGCTGTGTAAGTCCAGCGCTTAGGGTCGACCCCAAGCAGCTCAGGCGTGCGTCTAGAGCTGCTGTACCCTCCTGCGGGAGCCGGGCGCGAGGCTCCGGTTATCCTAGGGCCCTGAGTATCATCACACCTGGTGACACACCTGCAACCCAGACCAAGCTTGCAGCCACCCTAGCGGGGCGGGGGTGGGGTGGAAGAGGCGACCAGCAAAAGTTACCTGTGAGCCTCAGCTTCAGGGTCACTGTGGTGATGTATTTTAGAAAAATAAAAGGAGAAATTCTGCCAGTGTGGTCCTAATCATGGCTTTGGTTTATGGGGCAGATCTGATTAGCGTGGTGTTTTCTGAGGCAGACAGAGGGGACGACTTGATCTAGCTCCATCCCCCACAGGGGACAAATGATGCACAGCATTCAGCATCCACTCAGCTGGGGCAGGAGGGTGGTGGGCAGAAGCCCCTGGGAGCAGCAGGCTTCCTCTCCACGCCACCACCGCTGCCATGCAGAAGCCCTGAGTCGCTCAGCAAAGTCATCTAAGCAACACTAATCAATTAGCCTGGGAGCTGAGCAGCTCACCGCAGAGGCAGAGACAGGGGCAGCTCACACTTCCTGCTGACAGCTGGGCTGCCAGCCTCCCTCCCTCTGCCCTGAGCCAGCAGGAGGCCCCTGGGGTGGGGACTGCTCCTTTCCACCGCTGTTGCTGCTGCTGCCTGCCAGCCACCGCCCCAGCCTTGCTCTGCAGAAATTTGCAAAATATTTTCAAACGTACACAAAAATACAGAAAGTAATAAGGCCTCTGTGTACTTGCTGCACAGAGTTAAGGAGTGTTGACATTTTGCTGTTTTTGCTCCAGCTTCTTTTTGAAAGAAATAAAACCTGACAGATCAGTAGGAGCCCCATCCATTTTGGTCTGTCCGTCTGTCTGCCCAAGATGAGGTCGGTTGGGGGTGCTGACAGTGAGCAGTGAGTTCCAGCTTGGGGGGGGGTCAAGGTCCTCTTTGCATTTTGTTTTTGAAGGCTTGTATTCATTTTGAGGGGGGGAGGTGGGATTGAACTCAGGACCTTGTGCTTGCCAGCAGGGCACTTACAGTCTTTGTGTTTTGGGGTTTTTTTTTTGAGCAATCAGGGATTGAACTCAGGCCCTTGTGCTTGCCAGGTAAGCGCTTATTCTGCTGAGGTATCTCCCCAGCCCCTCCTCTTCGTGTTTTGTTTTGGTGGTGGCGGTATACTAGAGGTGAACCCAGGTTCCTAGGACTAAGCTCCATCCCCAGCCTTCTTTATTTTTTTTATTTTGAAATAGGGTCTCACTAAGTTGCTCCCCACAGCTGAACTCCCGCCTCAGTCTCCCAGTGTTGGATTACAGGTGTGCAGCACCACGCCTGTTTTCAGGCCTGTGTTCTACAGACAGCCCCAGTGGTGGCCTCAAGAGATGGTCAGGGACAGTTGGTGAGAAATGTGAATGGCACGAGGTGGTCACAGAGGAAGAGCAGGATGGAGATTGGGGGCTCAGTTTACTCCCTAGAAAGTCCCTGTACCTGCAGTCCCTTGAGAAATGCTAGTGCCAGGGGCAGGGGTGAGGAGGTGACAAGTGCACAGGGCTCTGGCCAGGACACCCTCTGGGCCTCTCTCTACCCTTCAGGTTGCCAGAGCCAGTGTCCCCCCCAGGGCAGCATAGATCCAGACCCCTCCACCACTGCTCAGGGAGAGATAGAGTCTGCGTTGGGGTGGGCACCACTCACTGTCCTCATCTTCTGGCTCTGCAGAGGCTGGGTCCTTGTCACCATCTGAGTCCTGCTCCTCTTCCTGCAAGACAAGGACAGGGGTCAGCACTGCAGGCAGAAGGCAGGGGAGTGTAAACAGGGAGGCAGCCAGGTCCCCTCTGGCTCTCTGGAGTGACCTCCTCGGGCACAAGGGGAATCAATGGGAGTGCAGAGGTGGGAGGGAGGAAGGGCCCTGAGGCCCCGTGTGGCCTACCCAGCGGCAGCCTTCCCCACGGCCATGGGCAAGTGGAGGCTGGCGCATCACAGGGGACACAGGGGGCCAAGGAATGCATTGCTTCACCTGGCTGTGCTTGTCATGCACTTGGCGGCCATTGCAATAGGTGGGTGGTGGATCTCCCACCTGTCGTAGGCAGGGAGCCTCAGGATGCCACCAGCATCACACAGACTCTTCCCCATGGCAGGCTGCTCTGCTTCCTGCAATGCCCTTTTCTCCTCTTCTCCCCTCCCTCCCACACCCAGGGCTTTCACACTGAGAAGGCATGCGAAGGGTTTTACTAGGCAGAAGTTTAAATTTCACATTCAGACAAATAGAGTGGGAAGGGCAGAGTCACGGAGAGACGGGGGCATTATTTTCTGGAACTGGGAACATTCAGGCTTCTGGGAAGGGGTGAGAACCCAGGAAATGGTGGCTGTCTCCCCAGAAGGTCACTAGCCCACATTAAAAGGTCAGCCCAGTTTTTGTTGTTTTCTTATTTTCTGAGTCAGGGTCTCGCTAGCTAGCTCAGGCTGGCCTGGAACCCTCTCCTGCCTTGGCCTCCTGTGTCACCACACCTGGCTTGTGTTCCAATGGATAATTTAATCATTCTTTGAAGTCTCTCAACCTGCTCCTTTATCTCAGGACCAGGCTGCTACTATTTGCTTCCTCAAACCCACTCAGGGACTTTCAGTGGGAGGGGAAGGAGCCTCAACTGAACCAGGTACACGGCTGTGGTGACTCTGCCTGGGTCCTGGGAGCTGCAGCCTTCAGAGGACAATTTTAGCTATGATCTCCTCTGCTCCTTTCTACCTCCCGCTTGCCCCTTCTCTCCTGCCTCCCTGGGAAGCACAGGTGCTGGGCACCAAGCCTGGCTCCTAAACGTCACTGTCCCTCCCTGTCTCAGTCAGTGTCCACTTTTCTAAAATTGGAGCCCCGCCTCCTCAGCCGGTTCTAGTCCATGGCAGATTCCAGGAACAGATGGCCGGAGGAAAGTGCTGTCCCACGCCGGGATGGCCTTAGTGGAGGGAAGGAGACGTTGGCGTTTGCAGGAATATCAGAGGATGACAAGGGCATGCAGATGGGCCAGCTGGCAAGGGCTAGAGGTGCGGAGCCCCAGAAGGTTTGAGAAAACCACAGGTCTTGGGGTGCTGCTGCAACCTCAGGAGAGGGCTCCCCAACAAACAGAGCAAGCTGAACCAGAGGCCTGGCATGGTCAGGAGCAGCACAGGCTGGGCCTGGTGATCCTCAGAGATGAGGAGGAGCAGCTGGGACAATGGGCTCTTCCCACTTAGCAGTCTGTCCAGGACTGATGCGGCCTTGGCACAGATGGGACACACCTGAGGTGTGGCCACCTCATGACTGTACTCAGCCAAGTGTTTCTATGGCTGAAAGGGGTGGCAGCCCCTCTAGAGACAGGCAGTAGAGACGTCCGCTCATGCAGCAATCCCACTTCTAAGATGCTGCTTTCTACATTGGACAAGTCGGGCATTTTACACAAAGACTCTGAATGCAAGAACGGGAAACAGGACAACTAGGGCCAGGGATATAGGGCCAGGCCGCATCAGTCCTGGACAGACTGCTAAGTGGGAAGAGCCCATTGTCCCAGCTGCTCCTCCTCATCTCTGAGGATCATCAGGCCCAGCCTGTGCTGCCCCTGACCATGCCAGGCCTCTGGCTCAGCTTGCTCTGTTTGTTGGGGAGCCCTCTCCTGAGGTTGCAGCAGCACCCCAAGACCTGTGGTTTTCTCAAACCTTCCGGGGCTCCACACCCCTGGCCTGGCTCCACACCCTGAGTGGCCTGAGGGCCTGCTTGGCACACGGTCCTGAGTTTGATCCCTGGTACAAGAGAAGTGAAGGGAAGGGGAAGGGAGGGGAGGGGAGGAGAGGAGAGGGGAGGAGAGGGGAGGGGAGGGGAGGGGAGGGGAGGGGAGGAGAGGGGAGGGGAGGAGAGGGGAGGGGAGGGGAGGTAATAAACTATAAGCAATGAGATGTTGATCCGCAGAATTAAAGTTGGTCCAGCTAAACTGGGTGCAATGTCTATTCTGGGAGAACAAGGCAGGAAGATCATAGATTCAAGCCCACCCTGGGCAACTTTGACACTTAAAAAGAATTTATATTGGGGCCAGCAAGATAGCTCAGTGGACTAAAGCACCTACTTAGGCAAGCTTAGGCAAGCATAGGGACCGCGGTTCAATCTCTGGCACCGCATGCTGCGCCAGCCCTGTCCCCAGGGCAGGCTGAGCCAGCCACAGAGTCTGGGTGCAGTGGTGAGTGCCTGTAATCCCAGCACTGGGGGGCTGAAAACAGGAGGATCATTATGAATCTGAGCTGCGTAATGAGACCCTGCAACAACCAGATACACTTAAAAAGGAATTTGTATCAAAATAAAAAGGTTGGAGATAGAGTTCTACATTGTTCAATAATGATGGCATAAGTGTGCTCAAAGCAAGAGAGAGAATATTTTAGGGAGACTAATGGCAATGTGCCTTTTATTGTAATAAAATTTTTAAATGTAAACATTCACTGTAGCTTTTGATCATCCCACACTGGTCAAACATTTACAGCAATTTGTGTCAAATAAAAACATGACAGTGCTTCCTCATCCATATTTTTCACTGGATCTGGCTCCGTGTGACTTTTTTTTTTTTTTTTTTTTTTGTGGTACCAGGGCTTGAACTCAGGCCTTGTCCTTGCTAGGCAAGTGCTTATTCTACTGAGCTATCTCCCTGGCCCTCCATGTGACTTTTGTCTCTTTCCCAAAGTCAAAATGACCAAGAAAAGTAAATGTTTTGAATCAATTCGGAATCCAAAAGCTGCTGAGAAAGCACTACAGACACTCACGAAACACTTCCAGACCTGTTTCAGGAAGTAGCACAAGGGCAAGGTGTATAGTTCAGTGGCACAGTAACTGCCTGGCAAGCACAAGGTCCTGAGTTCAAGTCCCAGTAAAAAAAAAAAAAAAAAAAAAAAAAGAGGAGGAGGAGTAGAAGAAGAGGAAGAAGAAGAAGAAAAATCCATGTTTTTCTTTGGCTGGTGTGGTGGTGCATACCTGTAATCCCAGCACTAGGGAGGCTGACACAAGAGGATTGTTGGGAAATTCAAGACTAGCCTGAGCTAGAAAGTGAGCTCAAGGCCAGCCTCAACTCCACAGTGAGGGCCTAATCTCAACAAGACACTCTCCCTCCCCCTCAAAAAGTGGCACAAACACTTTTTGTGGAATAAGTGTGTTTGAAGTGAAGGGGAGCGTTTCTGAGGGAATTAATAATATGTTTTTTTTTTTTTTTTGAGACAGAGTCTTGCTATGCAGCTCAGGCTGGCCTTGAGCTCTTTTCTAGCCCAGGCTGGTCTCAGACTCCCAGTGACGCTCCTGCCCCAGCCTCCCGAGTGCTGGGATTATAGACATGCACCACCATGCCCAGGCCCACCCTCCTTTTTGAGAGAGGGTCTTGGTAAATTGCCCGGGTTGGGTGGAATTTGTAGTCCTCCTGCCTCAGCTACTTGAGTAGTTGGGATAATAGATGAAGTACTTTCAGTATATTTAAAAATCTTAGAACTGGGCATGGTGGCACATGCCTGTAATCCCAGCACTCAGGAGGATTGGGCAGGAGCCTCACTGGGGAGTTCAAGGCCAGCCTGGACTACAAAGTGAGCTGAAGCCCAGCCTGAACTGCATAGTGAGACCTTATCTCAAAAAGACTATATATATATTTTTTTTCTTCATTCTTCCATTTATCTTATTTATTTATTTATTTAATTTTATTTATTTATTGCGGGCTCAGCTCATCCCCAGGGCTGGCCCCGCATGTGGTGCTAGTGATAGAACCAGGGTCCCTGCACACGTGCCTAAGCAGGCGCTTTAGACCGCTGAGCTATCTCGCTGGCCCTCTTCTCTGTTCTATGAGAAGAGAGAAAGAGTGACTACAACATGACAAAGTCCCACGTATGCTTGGTGAGTCAGACACACAGCTCCTAAGGTCAGATGCCTCAGTGGGCAGGCAGGCTAGGAGCATCTTTGGTTCCAGGGTCTGGTCTTTGACCTTAGTCCCTAACACTGAACCCTTGCACTCCATGGAATGTCCTGAGCCCAAAGAACACCTTTGGCTCTGTTGAGTCACACACCATGTGACTCCCGGGAGCTCCTAGGAGGGATGGGTCACCAGAAAGACCAAGCCACGATCAGAAGCCCAGAGAGGGTGAGTGAAAGAGACGGACCAACAGTCACTCACAGATGTCACTGAGAGGGATCCGAAGATGAAAAAGAAAAGAAACACAAGCAAACGCACATGCTGAGGAACTCTGGCCCAGTGGGGCAGACAGCTACACAAACAATCACAGCAGTAGAAGAGAAATCCTGTCAGCCTAAGGAGGTCCCTGGGTGCTGCCTGCATTACATTTCAGCTGCAGGGCAGGCTGTGCTGGGGTGTATTCTGGAACAGTATTAAACTGCTCTGCTCCACAGAGGCATCCCAGGGCCTCATAGCAGGGCCAGGCTCTGAACTTTGCCCTGAAAGAACACTCTCATCTGCCCCTATCAGGAAGAAAGAAGAACTAATTGAGTAAAGCCTGCTGCGCTTTTAAAGCAAACCCAAGAATGATGGCACATGCCTGTAATCCCAGCTCTTGGGAAGCTGAGACAGGGGCTCAGCTGTGAGTTTGGGGCTAGCTTGGGTTAGGTAGTAAGTTCAAGGCTGGTCTGCAGTTCATTGTGAGTGATAGGTTTTTCGGAGGAGCAGTAAAGAGATAGGAAAGATAAGTGAAGCCTTTATTAACTCCAAAGTCGAGGAGAGGATCCAAGGCAGATGGGGCAGGTAGATCCTCTGGCCTGAG